AAATGCTTGTTGACAAAACACATTCTCCTCTCTTCTCTCTCTATCTCTCTCCTCCACCTCCCTTCTTCTCTAAAACTCTCTCTTCCTCAAACTCTCTCTGTCTCTGTATCCCTGTCTCTGTCTCTTATACTCACACACACACACACACATTTGGATTGGACCTGTGATTTCATTAATATGGAACTCCCTCTAGTAATGCCAATTGATAACCTGTGCAATTGATAGCCTTAGAGAGTTTTCAGGGGCACTGAGAGGGTCAGAAAGAGGGCTGGAACTAGGTCTTCCTCCCTCTGAGGCCAGCATACATCCAAACCATAGGATCTCAATTTTTTTTTTTGTTTCATGGCCTATTTACACCCTTAAAATACTACCAAAAGTTTTTTTAAATGTTAGTCATATCTGTCATATTTACTATATTAGAAGTCAAAACATCTTAGTATTATTATGAAAATAGTTTTGACCTCAGTGACTCCCTGAAATTCCATCCTCTGTCTTCTCCTCTTCTTTCCTCTCTTCTCTCCCTTCCTCCTCTTTTCTCCTCTCCTGTCACTTCCATTCCTCTCTCTTCCTTTCCTCTATATTCTACTCCCTTTCCTCCTCCTCTTTCTTCTCTCCTCTCCTTCCCTTCCCTTCCCTTCCCTTCCCTTCCCTTCCCTTCCCTTCCCTTCCCTTCCCTTCCCTTCCCTTCCCTTCCCTTCCCTTCCCTTCCCTTCCCTTCCCTTCCCTTCCCTTCCCTTCCCTTCCCTCCCCTCCCCTCTTCTCTCTCTCTCTCTCTCTCTCTCTCTCTCTCTCTCTCTCTCTCTCTCTCTCTCTCTCTCTCTCTTAGCTGGGTGAAGCTGGAGTTTTTGTGTTGCAAGATCCTTTGCAGTGATCTCAGATGAATAAATGGAGGGTAGAAACAAATGAGATGCCTTGACGTCTGCCTTTGTCCTTCCAAGGACTACATTTGGTTTAATGCTTATATTGCACAGCCAGCAATGACCCTGTCGGCTAACATTCCAGGGGGAGGTGGGCAGATAATAGTGCCCTTATAGCTATGGATTTGAAATGAACAAGAAGCCTTTGTAGGGTCAGTTTCCAAGGGGACCAGGCTGCCATCACTAAAAACTGCCACCTTTAATTTGCTTCAAAAAGGGATCTAATTATAATGGGCTGTGGAGGATGGGGAGGGGACTTTGAACCTTTCCCAGACCTGCAGGACTTTCTAGTAGATGGAAAGCTTTTCTAAGTGGGCAGATGATTCCATCTCTAGGCCCATCATCCCTCTGGGAATCAAAAGGTGCTTTTAGCTTTCTTCTGCTATAGGGCTGTGGCAGAAGACATGAACATTGATTGTGGAGCTGGAGAAAGAATGGTGCTAGCTGCTTTGCTAGGGGAGCAAGCATGATCACCAAGAAGAGGCCCTGTGTCAGAACATATTACTGAGTCTCTCAGGCAGGCTCGCTTGCCAGCCAACTACTGCTTATCTTTTTAGGTAGAGTGCTGGGCTTGGAGTCAGGATGATCTAGGCTTAGATCCTTTTTCAGACAGTGACCTTGGCAAAGTCACTTACTTTCTCCAGGCCTCCTAAAACAAAGATAATAAGAGCCCCAACTTCATAAGGTTGTTGTGAAGATCAAATGAAATAATGTATTTAAAACACTTTGCAAGCCTTATAGAAAGAAATAAATGCCCACAATTGGTATTATTGGAACCCAAAAGACTTAACTTTACCATATTGTTTTTAAAATATGATATACTCCTAATATTAGGTCTCTTTGAAGGTAAAATATGTAGATATGCAAAGAAAAGTATTTACACAAAATTACCAGATCAAAAGAATATACTTACTGAAGAAGAGTTTTTTAAAAATTTATTTTCTAGTCAAATGAAGATGTTTTATTCATTTTTATTATCATTGCTCTCTTTGTTTTTATCACTTCTGCTTTTTATTCATGTTCAATTTGATAAACACTTATTAAGCCCTTCCTATGTGCCTGGCACTGTACCCTGAGTGCTGGGAATACAAAGGAAAAAACATTCCCCCAAATAGCCCTTGCCTTCAAGACTAAATTGTAATGGGGGAGATAACATATATAAATCAGAATATGGAAGATAAATACAAAGCAGATGGAAACTAACCTTAGATGAGATGTTGCTGATAGCTGGGGTGGGGGGAGCAGGAAAGGCCTTCTGGAGTACATGGAGGGGGAGGGGTACTTGAGCTGAGTCTAAAAGGAAGCCGGAATTTCCAGGAGTCAGATGTTGGGAGGGAGAACATTCTAGGCATGAGAAAGAGCCTGGGCAAAGGCATGGAGATGGGAGATAGAGTATTTTGTTCAAGGCACAGCATATTTGCTGGTTAGATGACAGGATCTGAGAAAGAGAGTAGAAATAAGAATATTGGAATGACAGAAAGGGGCCAGGTTGTGGAGAGCTTTGAATACCAAAGGACTTAATATTTGATCCTGAAGGTAATAGGGAGCCATTGGAGTTTATTGAGTAGGGGTGACATAGTCAGACTTTTGCTCTAGGAAAATCCATTGGCAGCTAAGTGCAGGATAGATTGGAATGGTGAGCAGATTGAGGCAGGGGAATCAATTAGAAGACTGTTGCAATAGGCCATTCAAGAGATGATGAAGGCCTGAAAGGCTGGTAGCTGCATAAGTGGAGAGAAGGGAGAGATGTTGGGGAGAGAAAAATGACAAAGCTTGGCATGTGATTGGCCAGTTATCCAGGCCTTCATCACCTCTTGTGAATGATAGAAGGATGATGCTGAGCTTGCAAACTTGGTTGACTCGAAGGAGGGTGATGTTTTCTGTTTTCTTTTTTTTTTTTGTAAATAATATTTTATTTTTTCCAATTACATGTAAAGATAGTTTTTAACATTTACTTTTATAAGATTTTGAGCTCCAAATTATTCTCCCTTCCTCCCTTCCTTCCCCTCTTCCCAAGACACGCAATCTGATATAGGTTATATATGTGCAATCATGTTAAACATATTTCCACATTATTCATGTTGTGAAAGAAGAAACAGAACAAAAGGAAAAGACCACAAAAAAACCCAAAACAAAAAAAGTGAAAATAGTATGCTTTGATCTGCATTCAGACTCCATAGTTCTTTCTCTGGATGTGGATAGCATTTTCTATCATGAGTCTTTTGGAATTGTCTTGGATCATTATTTTGCTGAGAAGAGCCAAATCTATCATAGTTGATCATCGCACAATGTTGCTGTTACTGTGTACAATGTTCTCCTGGTTCTGCTCACTTTGCTCAGCATCAGTTCACATAAGTCTTTCCAGGTTTTTCTGAAATCTGCCTGCTCATCATTTCTTATGGAACATTACATTCATATACCATGATTTGTTCAGCCATTTCCCAATTGATGAGTATTCCTTCAGTTTCCAATTCTTTGCCACCACAAAAAGAGCTATTATGAATATTTTTGTTCATGTGGATCCTTTTCCCTTTTTTATGATCTCTTTGGCATATAGCCCTAGTAGTGGTATTGCTGGATCAAAGGGTATATGTGCATAGTTTTACAGCCCTTTGGGCATAGTTCCAGAATGATTGGATCCATTCACAACTCTATCAACAATGCATCAGTATCCCAATTTTTCCACATCCTCTCCAACACTTATCATTTTCCTTTTCTGTCATATTAGCCAATCTGATAGGTATGATGTGGTACCTCAGTTATTTTAATTTGCTTTTCTCTAATCAATAGTGATTTAAAGCATTTTTTCATATGATTCTAGATAGCTTTAATTTCTTCATCTGAAACTGCCTGTTCATATCCTTTGACCATTTATCAATTGCGGAATGACTTGTATTTTTTTTTTATAAATTTGACTCACTTCTCTATATATTTGAGAAATGAGGCCTTTATCAGAAATCCTTGCTGTAAAAATTGTTTTCAAGCTTTCTGCGTCCCTTCTAATCTTGGTTGAATTCATTTTGTTTGTAGAAAATTTAATGTAATAAAAATTATCCATTTTACATTTCATAATGTTCTCTATCTCTAGTTTGGTCATAAATCCTTCCCTTCTCCATAGATCTGACAGATAAACTATTCCTTGCTCTCCTAATTTGCTTATGGTATCCTATCCTGATGTTTTCAAACAGCAATTGGGGAGCTCAGAAGAGGGGAGGGTTTGGATGGAAAGATAATGAGTCCTGTTTTGAACACGTTGAGTCTCAGATGCCAATGGGATATCCTGTTTGAAATGGGTCTGTTTCCTTACCTGTAAAATGAGGAGGGGTAGGCTAGGTGATTTATTAAGTTCTTTCTTTACATCTGAGATCCTATGTATGACGCGGGGCAAGTAAATGCCTCTGTTTCAGAGGCCCTAGTTTCTTAGAAACTAGTGCCTCAGTTTCTTCCTTTGTAAAAGGAGAGGGTTGGACTAGATGGCTTCTTCTAAACCCTAGCTCTGGGATTACATAATTCAAAATGCAAGGTGCACAGAGAAAACCATTGAAAGCTGTTGGAGGGAAGGCTCACGTTTCAAATAAGAGGGAGAGGAGCTGAGGTGGGCTTGCAAAGAGAGGAAGCCATTTTCTCTAGAAAAAGATGACGCAGGAGAGAATTCAAGGGCTGGCTCACCAGCTCTGCCAAGGAAGGGCTGCTTGGCCCTCACCCCTTGGCAGCTCTGCACAATTCCTAGACTACTGCTCTACCTGGGAAGGGAATTGAGGAATGTGTGGTTCAGTGAGGTCCAAAATGAAAGCTCTAGCCTCTGCTGCTTGCCAGAAGGATGGATGCCAAGGCTCCGGGCAGTGGCTCCATGCGCGGTTTCATAAGGGCTCACTTAGGCACAGCCTCCTCCTCCTCCTCCTATCAAGGTGCTATCTTTACAGGAGCCTCTAGATGGCAGCACTGGCCCAACGCAAAGCTCTTGCCTAGGGCGGCTGCTCCACTCTCCCCCGCCCTTTTTGTCGGATTATCTCGGGGAAGGAGGTGGGGAAGGAGGTGCAGTCTGCAGTGGAAGCCAAGGTAAGCCTTTCTTATCCCCATTAGGATCCTGAAGAAATGATTCGGGGAATTCACTGCGATTGTCAGGCTTCCGAAGATGCTCCGGCTGCTGGTGGCGTACTCCACGAAGGCCATTTAAAGGTAAGGCTCAACATTTGCACAGACCTCAAGCCATCTATTTCCTCCATTTTTCAGATTGATCAAAACGATGATTTTTCTTAACAACAACAACAAAAAGACCGCGCCCCCCCCTCCTCATTTAATGTCATCCCAGTGCATGGATGGACCAGTGATTTCATTCATTGCAGAAATTCAGAGCTGGAAGGTATCAAAGGAGCCATTGAAATGAAACACAAGTATAGCAGGCCCAACAAGTGGTCTCCCAAAAGGAGGGGTGATCTCGCAAGTCGCGGCAGCTCCACGGATAGCCTCTGAGGTCCCTTCTAGTTCTAGATGTGCAATTTTATTATTCTAAGTTGCTTTGCCTCACTGGGCTCTCATTTTCCTCATATGTAATACAAGAGATTAGATGGCTTCTGTGGTCACTTTCAGCTCTAAATCTAGGCTCCTGTTATCTTAAGGAACTTCACCAGGGGTCTCAGTATTTTCATCTGTAAAATAAGAGATTTGGATTTTCTAGCTCTAAGGTTTGGGCTCCTATTATCCTTAGCCATGTAACTTCCCTGGGCCTCAGTTTCCTCATCTGAAAAACAAGAGGGTTGGTCTAGGTAGGCTTAGAGGTCCCTTTCAGTTCTAGAACCAAGTCCTAATTATGGTAAGTCACTTTCCCTCTTTGGGGCTCGATTTCTTCATTGGGATGTGCTACATAGTCTCTGAAGTCCCTTCAGGCTCCAGATGTAGGCTTCTGGTATTCTAAGTCTTTTTATTTTCCTGGGCCTTAATTTCCTTATTTGGAAAATGAGAGGGTTAAAATAGGTAATATATTTGGTCCCTTCTAGCTCTAATAAGGCTTTTATTATCTTCAGTTACTTCCTCAACCTTGGCCTCAGTTTCCTTATCTGAAAAATGATAGTGGTGGATCAAAAAAGCTGCAACATCCCTTCCAGCTGTGAATCAAGGCTACAAAGATGTTTCACCACTGCCCCTCCCAGGGTTTCCCTTTGTTCCTCTGTAAAATGAAGGGGTTGGATGAGATGGCCTCTGAGAACCCTTCTGGCTGGAGAACTAGAATCTGATTATGCTCAGTCCTTTTACTCTCCTTGCTGAGAATTTCCTCACCTGTAAAAGGAGGGGGATGGATTAGATATGTCTTATAAGGGTCCCTTTAGCTCACAATCTAGGATCCTATTCTTCAGTAACTTGCCTTCCTGGGGTCTATTTCTGCTCATCTGCAAAATGTACAAAATGGCCTCTAGGGAGCCTTCCAGCTTTTGATCCAGTTTCCTGAATTTGGCATATTCATCGATCTTCCCTGGACCTCACTCTCCTAGCTTGTTAAATGAAGGGCTGGAACAAAATGGCTTCCAGGGTCCTTCCAGCTCAAAATCCAGGTACCTGGATGTGGCAAATTCATTGACACTCCCTGGACCCGATTTTTCTAGCCTGTAAAATGAAGAGGTTGAGCAAAATGGCTTCCAGGGACCCTTCCCTCCCTGGGCCTGATTTTACTAGCCTGTAAAATGAAGAGGTTGAACAAAATGGCTTCCAGGGTCCCTTCCCTCCCTGGGCCTGATTTTTCTAGCATATAAAATGAAGAGGTTGAACAAAATGGCTTCCAGGGACCCTTCCCTCCCTGGGCCTGATTTTACTAGCCTGTAAAATGAAGAGGTTGAACAAAATGGCTTCCAGGGTCCCTTCCCTCCCTGGGCCTGATTTTCTAGTAAAATGAAAGGTTGAACAAAATGGCTTCCAGACCCTTCCTCCCTGGGCCTGTTTTTACTAGCCTGTAAAATGAAGAGGTTGAACAAAATGGCTTCCAGGGTCCCTTCCCTCCCTGGCCTATTTTCTAGCCTGTAAAATGAGGTTGAACAAAATGACTTCCAGGGTCCCTTCTAGCTGCAGATCCAGGTTCTTTGATTAGTCATATTCATTAATACTCCCTGGGCCTGATTTTTCTCTCTGTAAAATGAAGAGGTTGAACAAGATGGCTTCCAGGGTCCCTTCCCTCCCTGGGCCTGATTTTTCTAGCCTGTAAAATGAAGAGGTTGAACAAAAGGGCTTCCAGGGTCCCTTCCCTCCCTGGGCCTGATTTTTCTAGCCTGTAAAATGAAGAGGTTGAACAAAAGGGCTTCCAGGGACCCTTCCCTCCCTGGGCCTGATTTTACTAGCCTGTAAAATGAAGAGGTTGAACAAAATGGCTTCCAGGGTCCCTTCCCTCCCTGGGCCTGATTTTTCTAGCCTGTAAAATGAAGAGGTTGAACAAAATGGCTTCCAGGGACCCTTCCCTCCCTGGGCCTGATTTTACTAACCTGTAAAATGAAGAGGTTGAACAAAATGGCTTCCAGGGTCCCTTCCCTCCCTGGGCCTGATTTTTCTAGCATATAAAATGAAGAGGTTGAACAAAATGGCTTCCAGGGACCCTTCCCTCCCTGGGCCTGATTTTACTAGCCTGTAAAATGAAGAGGTTGAACAAAATGGCTTCCAGGGTCCCTTCCCTCCCTGGGCCTGATTTTCTAGCATATAAAATGAAGAGGTTGAACAAAATGGCTTCCAGGGACCCTTCCCTCCCTGGGCCTGATTTTACTAGCCTGTAAAATGAAGAGGTTGAACAAAATGGCTTCCAGGGTCCCTTCCCTCCCTGGGCCTGATGTTTCTAGCCTGTAAAATGAAGTTGTTGAACAAAATGACTTCCAGGGTCCCTTCTAGCTGCAGATCCAGGTTCTTTGATTAGTCATATTCATTAATACTCCCTGGGCCTGATTTTTCTACTCTGTAAAATGAAGAGGTTGAACAAGATGGCTTCCAGGGTCCCTTTCCTCCCTGAGCCTGATTTTTCTAGCCTGTAAAAAGAAGAGGTTGAACAAAAGGGGTTCAAGGGTCCCTTCCCTCCCTGGGCCTGATTTTTCTAGCCTGTAAAATGAAGAGGTTGAACAAAAGGGATTCCAGGGTCCCTTCCCTCCCTGGGCCTGATTTTTCTAGCCTGTAAAATGAAGAGGTTGAACAAAAGGGCTTCCAGGGTCCCTTCCCTCCCTGGGCCTGATTTTTCTAGCCTGTAAAATGAAGAGGTTGAACAAAAAGGCTTCCAGGGTCCTTTCACTGCCTGGGCCTGATGTTTCTAGCATATAAAATGAAGTGGTTGAACAAAATGGCCTGCAGGGTCCCTTCCAGCTCCAGATCCAGGTTCTTTGATTAGGCATATTCATTAACCCTCCCTGGGCCTGATTTTTCTAGCCTGTAAAATGAAGAGGTTGAACAAAAGGGCTTCCAGGGTCCCTTCCAGCTGCTGATCGAGGTTCTTAGATTAGGCATATTCAGTGATCCACCCTGGGCCTGATTTTTCTAGTGTGTAAAAGGAGGAGGTTGAGCCAAATGGCTTCCAGGATCCCTTCCACCCCTGGGCCTGATTTTACTGGCCTGTAAAATGAAGAGGTTGAACAAAAGGGCTTCCAGGGTCCCTTCCAGCTGCAGATCCAGGTTCTTTGATTAGACATATTCATTAACCATCCCTGGGCCTGATTTTTCTAGTCTGTAAAATGAAGAGGTTGAACAAAAAGGCTTCCAGGGTCCTTTCCCTCCGTGGGACTGATGTTTCTAGCCTATAAAATGAAGTGGTTGAACAAAATGGCTTCCAGCGTCCCTTCCAGCTGCAGATCCAGGTTCTTAGATGAGGCATATTCATTAACCCTCCCTGGGCCTGATTTTTCCAGTCTGTAAAATGAAGAGGTTGAACAAAAAGGCTTCCAGGGTCCCTTCCAGCTGCAGATCCAGGTTCTTAGATTAGGCTTATTCAGTGACCCACCCTGGGCCTGATTTTTCTAGTCTGTAAAATGAAGAGGTTGAACAAAGTGGCTTCTAGGGTCCCTTACCTCCCTGAGCCTGATTTTTCTAGTCTGTAAAATGAAGAGGTTGAGCAAAATGGCTTCCACGGTCCCTTCCCTCCCTGGGCCTGATGTTTCTAGCCTGTAAAATGAAGAGGTTGAACAAAAGGGCTTCCACAGTCAGTTATAGCTGCAGATGCAGGTTCTTTGTTTAGTCATATTCATTAATACTCCCTGGGCCTGATTTTTCTACTCTGTAAAATGAAGAGGTTGAACAAGATGGCTTCCAGGGTCCCTTCCCTCCCTGGGCCTGATTTTTCTAGCCTGTAAAAAGAAGAGGATGAGGAAAATGGCTTCCAGGGTCCCTTCCCTCCCTGGGCCTGATGTTTCTAGCCTGTAAAATGAAGTTGTTGAACAAAATGACTTCCAGGGTCCCTTCTAGCTGCAGATGCAGGTTCTTTGTTTAGTCATATTCATTAACCCTCCCTGGGCCTGATTTTTCTACTCTGTAAAATGAAGAGGTTGAACAAGATGGCTTCCAGGGTCCCTTCCCTCCCTGAGCCTGATTTTTCTAGCCTATAAAAAGAAGAGGTTGAGCAAAATGGCTTCCAGGTTCCCTTCCCTCCCTGGGCCTGATTTTTCTAGCCTGTAAAATGAAGAGGTTGAACAAATGGGCTTCCAGGGTCGCTTCCCTCCCTGGTCCTGATTTTCCTAGCCTGTAAAATGAAGAGGTTGAACAAAAAGGCTTCCAGGGTCCTTTCACTCCCTGGTCCTGATGTTTCTAGCATATAAAATGAAGTGGTTGAACAAAATGGCTTCCAGGGTCCCTTCCCTCCCTGGGCCTGATTTTTCTAGCCTGTAAAATGAAGTTGTTGAACAAAATGACTTCCAGGGTCCCTTCTAGCTGCAGATCGAGGTTCTTTGATTAGTCATATTCATTAATACTCCCTGGGCCTGATTTTTCTACTCTGTAAAATGAAGAGGTTGAACAAGATGACTTCCAGGGTCCCTTCCCTCCCTGAGCCTGATTTTTCTAGCCTGTAAAAAGAAGAGGTTGAGCAAAATGGCTTCCAGGGTCCCTTCCCTCCCTGGGCCTGATTTTTCTAGCCTGTAAAATGAAGAGGTTGAAGAAAAAGGCTTCCAGGGTCCTTTCCCTCCCTGGGCCTGGTGTTTCTAGCCTATAAAATGAAGGGGTTGAACAAA